GGCCGCCCAGCCAGGCGCTCCCTCGTCCTGTTCCCCCTCCTCACAGCCATGGGGAGCAGTTCTTCTGCCCCCAGTCCAGAGCTGCCCCAGATGTTGCTCTGCTCTCCTCTTTCCATCTCTTATGAGCCCCGAAGCTGCTCTGCTGCCCTCTACCCCCAGCACGATTCCTTCGGACACCCCCGGCTTGTCCGTGGGCTCTCTGCCCCCGCGTGTCCCCCGCGTATGATCTCCGACTGTTGAAGTGTCAGTGACCCTGTTCAGTTCCCTGTAGAGGGACGTGGCTTCTGTCATGTAGGCCAGAAACTCTGGCTTCAGTGTCACGCTGCACCTTCTTGCCCCACGCACCAGCTTTATGGGCAAACTGAGGCCTGAAACATTATTACAACATGAACACCATTAACACAGCAATATTTGGATGCTTTACTTTCTGGGGTGATCTGACCCCAGCTGAATTCCTGCCCTTTGGGCAGAGGGCTGGACCCAATGGTCTCGTGAAGTCCCGTCCAGTCCTAACGTCTATGAAATCTATGAAATCAATGACATGATGTGTTTCATAGCATCGCCCACGGCAATTCATGTTCATGTTCGCCAGGGCAGAACTGACCTAATTTGGGGCTGGAAAAGGAATTTGTGGCACTTTCATTCATGTATTGTCTCCTGACTGTGGCAAAGGAGGCAGCGGGTAGATGCAGGGAGCCCAACCCTCCCCCAGGGATTTTGCTGCCTGCCCATGTAGGGGAGGGGGATACCTCAGTACAGCACCCCCTGTCTGCCGTGTCAGTGTTCCTGTTGACATCAATGGGGACATGTTGAGATTTGTCTTTGCGTAATGAAAGAGGATCAGCAATGTCCTAATTGGCTGCACAGAGCTGAGGCACGGGTAGCTGGTGGGTGCGGTGGGTTCCCACTGTTCAGCCTGCTGGTAGCCTCTGTTCCTGGCCACGCTGGGTACTTTTACACCCCACCCTGAGGGCTACGTAGGAAAATGAATAGGATAGCAGAAATCCTGTAACTGCCCAAGCACGCTGGGCACATCGTGTGAGCCGAGTGCTCAGGCAGCCTGGCCCAGCTGCACCCTAACACCGTCCCGCAAGGCAGCATCTTTAACTCTTGACTAGAAAAAAATTAGCTCACGCTCTACAAGATCATCCTCATCGCCCCCAAAGCCTGCTGTACACTCTGACATCTCCCTCTTTGCACGGCCAGATCTTCCTGAGGTCATCTCCAGAGTCTCTGCCCCCTGTTCATCAGCCAGCTAATGTTCCCTTGCCGCCCATCCTCTATTGCCATTTGACCGCTGCAGCCATCTGTGCTTTGGCTTTCCCAACAAACATTGCTCCCTCCCTCCCCTCCATCTTTATGGCTCTTCATTGATTCTCCTTCACCACTACATCAATTCTAGCTTCTCATGACAATGTTGGATGTCTTTCCTGCCTCTGCTGCTCTCCCCCTAATCGGCTTTTTCCTCCGTGCCCTGCAACTCAGCTTCTTTGCTCTGCTGCCAAAGGCTCCCTCCCAAATGTCTCTGCATTTTGGACGTAATGTTTTCATCCTGAGGTAAGCTATACAGAGGCTGCACACTGCTGGTTTGTCTCTCCAGCTCAGGAAGGAATAAATACAATGACCAGTGGCATTTTAGCCCATTTCCGATAGCTACTTTCCCCGCTGCTATGGAGGTTTTCTTGCCAGAGCTGCTCTGCTCTTGCCACTTTTTGGTCTGTACCAGTCTGATGCTGGGGTAAAAATCCCTTTGGCACCCCAAATGTGGCTAGCAGTCTGTCCCTGACTGGAGACACATCTTCTAGCCAGAAATCTCCAGGTTTAAGTCCCATCAGGAGCACTGGCACACCCCAGGCATAATCCCTAGCCTTCTTTGCAGCCAAAATTAGGTGGTGCCGAGGAAGGCGCAAAAAGCCCCTGGCATGTGTAGCAGCAGGAGGGAAAAAAATTCCCTCTTGGCCCCATGCAGCAACCAGCAAAGCCCAGAAGCATGGGCATAGTTACTCCTAGATTGGCTCTGACCAATGCTTGTGAGACCTCTTCTTGAACACCTCCTCTGCCTCACTGTCCTGACAGTCAAGAAGTGTCTCCTGATGGCCAGTCGAAACCTGCTTTTCTGCAGCTTCAGGTCACTGCTCTGTGTTCAGATCTCTGCAGCAAGAGAGGAAAGGTGCCTTCCCTCTTCTGTACAGCCGTTTTGTCAGATCTTTACAAACTGCTGGCATGTCCTCTCTTAAGCACCTTTTCTGCAAGCTGAACATGCCTATTTCCTTCGACCTCTCCTCATATAACTTGCCTCCCAAGCCCTTTATCAGCATTTTTCTTTCTACCAGGGCTGTATTTCTTCTAAAAGGAGCTCTCCCCTACTAAAGCTCTGCTCACAAGCTGCAGGGACCTATGTAGAGGCCAGCCACCTGTTTCCAGGGACTGTGTCCAACTCTTCCTACAAATCCCTCCTCCAGACCCATTTCTGCTTACTCCATTCCCCATTGTTTCTAGGACACAGTTTTTCTGATTCCCATCCTTCCCCTCCTCTGCATGGTCAGTCTAGCTGCAGTGGGCTGTGATCACTCCTGTGCTTGATTTGCCTGAATAGTCAAAGTCAGGGTATTCTCCCCCTAATTTCCATGATGTTGCTTTGAAGGCTGGTTCTGAACTTTGAGAACGGGCGCTTCCTTGTCTTCTACAACTACTGGATACATTGGAGCTCCTCTCCCTCTGCTCAGACCGCCATTGACATCCTGCCTGCTGAGATCCTTTGGGGACGGGCTCTGGAAGCCCTTCGCAGGTGGATGCCCGTCTGCTGCACCCTTCTGGACCAGAGATATTTCTTGGGTCTGGGTACGCTCCATCAAGGAGGAGGAATGGCCTCCAAGGATGGAGACACTATGGCTCAGTCTGAGATAGAGCTCAGATTTATCATTAGCTGTAGACCCCACGTGTTGTATGTCCCCTCTGAGACACGAGGCTTGTAGTAGACCTGCTTGTTCCTATAGCACCTTCCATGGACAGTATAGTAATTCGGGTTAACTCCCTTATTAAAGAGTGATGTCATCCACAGGAAGTGCTCAGTCAACCATTTTGGGTTAGGGGTTAGTTGCGTTACAATAAAGGCGTAATGAGAGGAAAGCGTCTCCCTGCCTCTTCCTAAGATAGGGTTACCATACATCTGGATTTTCCCAGGCATGTCCTCTTTTTAGATCCTCTGATCTCGGTCCGGATGCTTTTATAAAAATACGACCAAATGTTTGGGATTTTGGTCAGCTCAGCTTCAAAGTATTTTCCGGCACTTCCTGGCTTGCCCTAGCAAAAAGCTGCTTGGGCCTGGGGTCAGGGCAACTGGAGGCAGGACACACGCACACACATGTGTCTGGCATGTAGCCAGGTATGAGGTGGGAGCAGCCCAGCAGCTGGATACAGGTAAAGGCACCACCATATCACTGCCCCACCCCACAATCGTATACCTTCTCTCCCTCCGCACAAAGGGGGTCTTCTTTTTTGGAATTGGAAATACAGTAATCCTACTCCAGAATGGGACGTGGTGTCAGGAGTGGTGAATCCTGCCACCAACACGAAGTCGAACAGGTGATTCGCAACCAATGGATCAGACTCTAGCACCCGCTGAATCCAGCGCAGAGCAGAGCCCGGAGCCCCTACCTGCAGCAGAGCCCGGTGCAGCGCTGAGGCTGGCTACAGAGACCATGCAGGCGCTCAATGCTGAACCACCACAACAGTTTGATTTGCAGTCCTCTCAATAGATAAGGCATTTTAATCGCTTCAGGGAAGTGTTGGGTCTGGACAAACAGATGGAAGCTTATCACGTGAGTATTCTTCTACTCTCTGGGACATCACAAATGCAGAGAAAAAGCAATATGCTGCAGTGATAGAAGCATTAACCGATCATTTTCTGGGCAAAAGATGTGATTTATGAACGAGGTCGATGCAATCTCCATAAGCAGTAAGGCTTCAGAACCTGTGGACAGATTCATCACATTTTTGTACACATTGGCTGAATATTACCAATACGGAGAGGTTAAGAGGAGCTAATTAGGGACCATTTAGTTGTGGGGCTTCATGATACGGAGCTCTCACAAAGACCTGTTCTTAGACACAGCAGGGAAGAAAGGGGGCGGGCGGTGTAGCGCTCTACGTCAAAGACCAATACACGTCCTTGATGATGAGGATGGGGTGAGAGGAGGGGCAAACTGAGGCACTCTGGGTAAGAATGCAGGGGGGTCGTGGGGAAAGGGACTCGACAGTGGGTGTCTACCACAGACCGCCTCACCAGGGGGACGAGCTGGACCGGGAATTCTCAGGTCAGCTCACAGAGGGTGTAAAGTCAAGGGATGTGGTTGTCACGAGTGACCTAAAATACCCAGACATCAGCTGGGAGGAGCAGTCAGCCAGGTCCAACTATTCATAAGTTCCTAGCCGGGATCCAGGACCTCCACCTAACCCAGGAGGTGCACAGTCCCACCAGGGGAAATGCCCATTTTATACTTTTTTTAATGTCACTCCTTTGGTGACTCTGCTTTTAGAGTGGTTTCTCTGCTGCCAGTATACTGTCCATATTTTATCCTATCAGCATATTCCTTTGTTCAACAGATCCATCAGGAGCACGCCTCTTAATTTGGTCGTCTTCCAGTGTCTTACTTTGGGCACTGTCCTTTGGTCTCCTTTCTCACCTTTCATGAACATCTCCAATTGTTTCATCCCTCTGATTCAGCCGGTTAGTGCCAAGTTTACTTGATTTGAACTGGTAACAAAACTATTACTATGTTGTGCTAGAAAAAATGTCTTACAGTGTTTGAAAAAGAAGGAAACATCATGTGAGCAAACTCAAGGCCATAGGCTGCTTGCAAGAGGCAAGGCCAGCTGATGCTGCAAACACCAGCAAAATGAAAAGTTCAGATAACACCAAGGCAAACAGAACTTAAGCAATGATTAAAGAATATAAAAGAAAACTTTGAACAATACTGGAATTCACCACTCTACAAACAGGTGCAACTTTAAAGCATAAAAGATGACAAGCCTAACAGCAGCAGTGGGGCAAGGGTAGCTGCTGCCCTGAGCATGGCCCTCAGTGCTTGCCCAGCTTTGCCAGGCTCCCAGTGGCCACCTCTGCTCTGCCCACAGGGCAAGATCAGCGACAGCCTTGGCACCTGCTACCAGCACCTGGACTAGACAAGCTGGACTTTCGCTGCCGCCACCCGGGCACTAGACGTCGAGCTGCGGTGAGTAATGCCTTGGCTGGGCATGGCGGCCGAGGGGTAGGGGGGAGTGGATGCCAGCTTAAAAAACCCAAATCAGGGCATCTTGAAATGTGCTTGTTTGAGCAGCCACTGGTTGCTGCTTTGGGCTCCCATTGCTGCTGCTTTCCACTCTGGCTCCTGCTTGGTTCTCCGCACCTCGTCCTACGCACATCGCAGGCTGTTTGGGTCGCTGTGTGCATGTGTTCAGTGCTCAGCACAGCTGGCCCTTTCCCTTTGGGCTTCTGACCACCACTGTAATGAATCCTTTGAGAAGGTGTCTGTGTAGGGATGAGACACTCAGATTTGCTTTTCCTACCAGGGAAGGCAGCTAGCAAGCAGAGCAGGTCCCATGGCACAGAAGCACCGGGTCACAGTTCAGGGTGGAAAGGAGGAGCGCCTTCCCCTGGGGCATGCAGAGAAGCAGGACTGCCTCCAAGGTCTGCAGCACCTTAGCAGGGAGGGCCTGGGGAGCTGAGGCACCTTCAGGGCTTGTCATCCCCTGAGCAGCCCCGTGTCAAGGCACACAGTTCATGAATGCCTCAAAATTCAGAACAAAGGATTTGCACGGGTGATGCTTCCCACCCTGCTCCCCTCTCCCCAGCATATCAATCAGTCTCTTTTTCCTCTTGTTTTAAGCAGGAGTTGAGGGACAGCATTTTGGGGGGTGCAGCACAGACCTGAACGTGCGTGTGTTAAGGGCAGAGTTACCGGTCCCGGGCTCCCCAGTCCTGGTCTGGTCTTGATCCCTCTTGGTGCTTGCAGTGGCAGGAGCTGTGGCAGAGGGAAGCATCACAACTTCCCCTTCCCTCCCTCCAGGCAGCTGTTTTGTCCTGAGGAAGCTCTTGCAGAAAGGAACCGGGGCATGAACTAAAAGCGCAGGAGCTCCTCCTTGGAGACACTTTTATTCCTCACTAAATGCCTCATTAGCACACCTTGGGGATGACCACAAGGCAGTGTCAAAGGGCAACTGAAGGGGAGTCCGCACAGCAGCTCCCATGTGACGGCATTTTCCCTTTAACTTACAGCAGCAGCTTTCCCTATCAGCAAACTTTTGCAGTGGTTCTGGCTCCTGGGTCATCATGCTGCTGGAGCTGGGGGGGGTTTAAATCTTATCGCTACCCTGGCTAAATATCCTGAGATTGGTAGAAGTGCGGCTGCATCAGTACAGCGGTATTTTGGGCTACCATCAGACCTCTGCATCAGCATTGTATGTCATTTTGTTACTGATACAGTAGCTTCACTAGAAAGTGTATCAAAACCTCTGTATTGAAAAGAGGCAGCAGCCTACAATGCATGCAGGAACTGGCACATTGCAGGTCTCTCTGGGCACGTCTACACTTTCATTAATGCACCATAATTACGTTTTGCCGGCCATGCTAATGCGCAGTAGAATTATTCTTCTGTGCATTAATTGTCTCTTGTAGACAAGCCCCTTCTGTATGAACTATACTTTTAGTGATTGCCACAGATTTATCACATGAGACATGAGTATCATAATGGTTACCGCCAGGAGGATGCATGGTTAAAGAAAGATGAGTGATTACATTTGGTCTCCGTTATTGATTTGTGGTTCCTCTTCTGCAGGGGTAGCACCTGCTGGCTGTAGCCATGTGGCATGGGATGCCGCCCTGGGGTGTGCTGCAGGGTGCATGGGGAATGGGGAATGTGGCTGTGCAGGGGGGTGGCACATGGCTGCAGGGCGTGGCGCGGGGAGCACCCTCTGGCTGTGGCTGCGTGGCATTGGGGGTGGCCCTGGGGCATGTCCATCCCTCCTCCGCCTGCATGTCTGTCTCTCAGTAAGGCTCTGGGCGGTGCATGCGCAGTTGGCCTGCAGCTTTATGGGTGGGGAGAGACAGAGCCAGAAGTGATAAGACTTTTATTATATTCGAATTTTGGATTATTCCTTCTGAGGCGCAGATCCGTGCACTTGTCTGCACTGAACGTCATCCTGTTAGCTCCATCCCAAATTTCCAGTCTGTTGAGATCCTTCTGAATAGCACGCACATCCTCCAGGGAATTCACAGTCCTTCACAGTTTTGTGTGATCTGAAAACTTGAACAAGAAGCTTTCTATGCTAGCATCCAAATTATTAATTCATGTATCCAACAGCACTGGGCTGAGGACAGACCCCTGCAGGACTCTACTCAGTCTCTTGCCATTTTGACACAGATTGCCCTTTTCTTGCAGCTATTGAGCCAGCTATCTATGCACCTTATAGTGGTTTTGCCCAGCCCACAGTTATCCAGCTTGTTTGAGAAGGTCATGCTGGACCTTGTCAAAAGCCTTGCTGAAGTCCAGATATCCACAGCAGTCTCTTCATCCACCCAAGTAGCGACTTTGTCAAAGGAGAAGATGAAGTGTGACGTGATGTGTTGTTAGTAAATCCATGCTGGCTCTTTGTCATCAACCTTTCCTTCTCCAGAAGCTTGCCAATGGCCTTTCCTAGGATGTGCTCTAGTAACTTCCTGGCTATTGGAGTGAGGCAAACTGGTTGTAGTTCCCTGGATCTTCCTTTTTGTCTGGTTTTAAAGAGAGGCACTACATCAGCACTTTTCAAGTCCTCTGGTACCTGGCCAGTCTCCCACAACTTCATGAAACCTTTGCCAAGGGCTCAGAGATCTTCTCTGCTAGTTCCTTCAGTACCCAGGGTGAAGTTCATCTTGCCCTGCTGACTTGAATTCATTCAGGCCAAACAAAAGGTCTCTTACTATCTCTTTTGCAGCCACAGTGGTCCCTTCTTTTTGTGTTTCCATCGTGCTGGGACAGTTTCTTGTTGGGCTTCCGATACTGTGCCCCTTCGAAACTCCCAGCCCACCCGGGTGCCTTTATCCTTCAGTCTATCCCCGCCAGGACACCATGTCTAGTCGCTCTTCGAGTCAAATGAAATTTGCCTGTTTGAAATTCAGCAGAATAATTGTGCTAACCTCATGCTTGCCCTGCGCCAGGACCTGGAATTCAAGGGTATTCTGATCTCTTCCTCCCTAGTTACACATCACCTTCACATCCTCCACCAGGTCTTCCCTGGTGGTCAGGACAAGATCCAAGACAGATGCGCCCCTCCTTGTATCCTTCGCTTTCTGGAACTGAAAGTTGTCCTCCACGTGTTAGGAACTGGCTTGCCATTTTATGCTTGTCTATGCTGTTCTTGCACCAGCTGTCCAGAAAATTGAAGTCTCCCGTCAGTGCCGTCTCATAGCTTTTGGATAGATTTGTCACCTGCTTGACGAGTGCCTCCTCCACGTCCTCTTCTTAATTTGGTGGCCTATAGTAAATCCCCACCTTTATAGCAGTGCTGCATCTTTCACTTCTCGTCTACACCCTGAAATGAAATCTTCGTAATTTTTTTTTAATGAAATCTTCATAATTTTACAAGGAGGAAATAAGTATTACCACCTGAAACCCGAGACCCTGCTCCTGCCTTTGTTCAAGGTCATTTGCTTATCACAGAGCCTAGAGATGCCTCACCACATAAGGAATCCCAGCCCAGAAGAGCTTTTCATCTTTTTCCTCTTCTGCGAAATAGGAAACACCATAACCAGAGGAAAATATGACTACATCCTGCTTGCCCCCAAACAACTTTGAGGTAAACAGACTATTCCAACTTTTCTCTGAGCATACTCTGCATAAAACAAACTCTTCCAAACAGGAGGTTTTACCACCTTCAACTCTCCTATGAAATATGAACTTTCATTTCTACCCAGGAGAATTTTTGTGATCTTTTCTCCAATGCCTGAAGAAGGGTGTTTGCGCACGAATACTTGCAATAAAATATATATATTTATATATTTGCAAAAATCTAGTTGGTCTAATAAAAGACATCACCTCTACCATGAGTCTTGATCTTCACCCAGATGCATTCTGCCTTGCCATCTTCTTCCAACTCAACCAGGGAACAAGTGTATACATGTTTGCCACTTTTTTGCCCAACCCTGTCCTTCCAAAACAGAGCGTAACCCTCCATGTCGACATTTCCATCATGAGAGCTGTCTGTGTGATGCCAGTCAGATCATAGTTATTTCCACAGGCTGCAGCTTTCAGCTCATCTTGATTATTCCCCATATTTCTCCCATTTGTATATGTGCACTGGCCATAGCTTGAATATTGTTGGAGCATGCCCTTCCACTGATTGACAAATAAAGCTTCTGTTTGTATCTTTAGCAAATCAGGTTAACTGTAAACTTGTTGTGAGCACACTTAATTGCCATTTCAGCCATGCATCTGCCAATCTGGGGATCTCTGAGATCCTCATTATCCAGTGGCTATGATTTTTGCAAGGCATCTCCAAAGCCCAGCTAGCGACGTGATCCCTTTGGAGGATTTAAATGTGTCTTTGTCCAACTGTGAAGATGTCTCATCCCAACCTGTGGCTACATGCCACTTCCATCTTCCTTTGTGAACATGGCTTGTTTTTTATCCTGCAAATTACTTCACCAGCACTGTGAGAGGATACCCTAAAGGCTCCACAACATGTGCAAGCTATTGCACGGAGGATGAGATTCCTTATGTGTACAGTAATTGCTGTTCTTTCCAAACGGACCATCTCCCTACATCCCCCATGATTCACTGTCCATTCTTCCTACTTTGAAGTCCTTGCATGGTGAGTAGTGTAGTGAGGAAACAGGGATATTGTTGGGGCAGCTCCATCCATCCTTCAGACCTGGGCTGGAGGCACAAGTATGTGGAGGACACTGGTGGTGTCCCATTGATCACTGCTAATGAGACCCTCACTCTTACACACTCGATGTGCCCCCATTCACAAGGGGATATGTGCAGCGGCTAGATCTCTGCAAGGACACAGGCTCTTGTGCAAACAAGCATCCTTTTTATTTTCTAGAGAGATTGTCTTGCTCAGTTCAACAACAAAGGTTTGGTTAGGGGTGTCGTGAAGATTCGGAAGGGACAAGCTGTCACTCTGATGAGGGATGCCACCAACATGCAGGCCTTCAAGGCTATTATGTACCAGTATTTGGAAGAGGTAAGTTGGGTGGTTGTTCTGACTGATTTTTGTTTTTCTTCAAATGTAACCATTCATTTTTCTGCCCATAGTGATACACTGGTAGGGCTAAGTTGGTGAATCCACCTTAGAGCTCTTCCAGCCATTTAGTAGCTGTCCTGTGTCAGCTAATATTGGTGAATGCAGTCTAGCAGCCAAGGACAGGACACCACCCACCAGCAGCTTAAAATAGTAAAGTCCGGGAATGCAACTTTTTCCTTAATGTGGTCCCCTCCAGCGACACCACCCACCAGCAGCTTAAAATAGTAAATTCCAGGAACACAACCTTTTCCTTAATGTGGTCCCCTCCAGTCACGCTTTTCTGTAATCCTATGATGCACTACTGTACTATCAAAGTACTTGTGATGGAAGCTTTCAAGGAGGGTTGGAGGGTGTGGCAAGACAGATTTAGACCTACGATCTCCAGAGGAATCATGTTCACATGATTAATGGCTAATGAGCCCCTAGTAGTGTGAACCATGCAGATAAATACTCACACAAAGCAGGTTACTTTTACCATGGTACCTTGAACTCTGACAGGAACTTGTTCATATGGATTCATGATGCTCCTTCCCATGGATGTGGAGTCCTTGGAGTGGGTTTTGGTATTGAGGAAGGGGCTGAGTGCTGGTCAGGGCTGGTTAGCCCCTAATGCCCTTGGATGCGGGTGGGAGGAGGGTGGCATGTTAGATGTGTGTGTACAGCCTCTGACGGGTGTTGCAAGTGAAGCATCTCTGGCTTTTCACACCACAGGAGCATGCACACACAGTGGGATTCATGTGGACCAAGGTCTGCCAAGGAACCCCAGCTGCTGCAAGGGCAGTAACCCCCCGCCTGGCTTTTGCATGTTGCTTACGAACCTGTTCCAAATCTGAGTCCACCTCTTATTTCCTGGTGGTTTCCCTGATTCTCACTAGTGCCAGGCTGTCCTGACCTCACAGTGCCAAGGCTTATGATGGGGTACAGCATGGTGAAGGCACATCCTGTAATGCAAAGGGATTTGAAATGGTGTGAGCAGAGAAGTAAGAACTGTTTTATTGGACATCTGATTTATTTCTTCTGACACCTTACATTTAAATGTGTCAAACTGGCTGTAACACTATTCATGCCTAGTAGCGTCCTTTTTGAGTAGAGTCAGCATCCCACTGGCGACATGGTCCTTGCGAAGGAGATGCCATTTAACGGTTGAGGGGCTATTCCCTGGGGTGGGGCATTCCT